TTCCTTAATTAAAAAACCATTTGATGAGAACTCAAAAATGCAAGGGAAATATATTGTAAATTGACTAATCGATAATAGGTTCTTTTTCATTTCAGGCACCAAGAAGATATTAGAAACATTGATTTTTTTTAGAGCCAATAGCAATATTTTTTTAGCACCAATATGTGAAACAATTAATTGTTCATCATTCTCAACCATGACTCTATTTGTGCCTCTGTAGGGATGAAGATTTAGCAATTTACTGGGATCTCCTATCATATGGGTGGAGGCACCTGTATTTGGGAACCATTCTAAGTCTTGTGAATCAACTATAGTCATTGCAGCAAGGGCCTGATGAATATCTTCTACTTGGTTCATGTGGTTGAATAGATGCCAACACTTCAATGCAGTATGTCCAAGTTTCCCACAAATTTGATACTTTTTTCGAAGTGTCTAAGATGATTGTTATATCTGTGAATCTTGTTGGAAGCCTTGATCCATGTGTCGCATAGGAAGTATACCGCCACTTTCTTGATTTTTTCGGGGCATCCCACGACCCCTATTACTGATCTGGCTAGTTTGAACAAACCCACGTGCTTGAGAGTTGAAGAAACGTTGATCAACAAAGTTGTTCCTCCATCTACCTCTGTAATTCTGATTACCTCTATTGCGTTCAAAATATTTTTGTTTTCCAACAAATGCCATATTTCGATTTAGATTTGAGTGTTCTTCAAAGATATGAGGCTGATTTCTAATGTCATTGCTTTTAAGAAGATGTATAATTTCATAATAAGAAGGAATCGAAGGGTTAAAAATAGTGGTAGCAAAACTCTCATATTTTTTACCATCTCTATTAATAAGCCAAAAAACATTATTTTCATATAGTACAGGTTTTTCAATAGCCATCAAATTAGCACATATACTCTTGAATTTGCATATGTATTCTGATAGGGTTAAATTCTCTTTCTTACATAGTTGGAGTTGCTGGTAAGTAACTCCCTAGCTTGAGAATTACCTACATAGGTATTCTTTAGGTATTTACAAACTTCTACAGAAATCTTGAGGACAACAACAAGGCTGAAAAACTCTTCTGATAATGTCCATGTGATCCAGGCTTTAAGAAGCCGATCGGACTTTAACCATGATTTGTAATCTAAGTTTTCAATTTCATTATTACCATCAAGATAGGAAATCTTTTGGCTTGGTGTAGGGCAATCACCATTAATAAATCCAGAAAGTTACTGACTCTCTATGAGAGAAAGCATTTGAGTTTCCTATAAGATGTTATGTATCAACTTAATAGACACAAAGTTTCCTATATTAAGAGTGGAGGGATAGGGATATTTATTTGACGAGGATAAATTATCCACTGGAGCGAGTAGGTATTTGAAGGGAGAGGGTGAGAAAGGGGATTTGAGGGGTTTTTTTTTGGTATGCAAGAGAGGGTGATATGAGTTGTGCGTGACTTGGTTATTAGGGTAAGAAATAAGATAGAGAGTGGAGTCGGTTTTAATGGTGATGGAGGGAGTGCGTTAACTAAGGACGTGAGCTTGAATATGTGAGAGATAGAGAGAGAGAGTTGGACGTAGGATGGGATGAAGCTCAAGTATGCAAGAGAAGCCAAGAAAGTGAAACAATGAGGTGAAGAGAGAGTTTTTAATGGCCAGAAGGAAAAAATGAAAACATGAGAAGGAAAAATGGTGTAAAAAAAAAAAACGATAATGGCTTAATAAAAATAAAAGATGGGGAAGGATTGAAGTACCGTGAGTCAAGATGAAGTTGCTACCTGCTTTAGATTGAGAAACTACTTCAAGATGAATTGAAGAGAGGATCGGTGATGCTCTGATACCTTATAGAAATTTTTAGAGAGAGATGAATTCTTTTAAGAAAAATAATTGTGCCCCACACTATTTTGTGGTAGTTCTTTTATTATATATATTATAGTAATACAATTGTGTAACACACACTTTCCTATCTTGTTACGTTCTCATCTCAAAAAAAAAAATACAATACTTCTATTGTGGTCTTGCCAAAAATGGGAATTGGATATTGTTTCTATTATTCTCCAGAAGAATGATCGATGAATATGCATGAGGAACGAACACAAACTCTTTTTACCATGTCAAACCACATTTGAAGTGCTTGTTTCAAGCTATATGGAGCCTTAATTTATTAATACACATATTGGGGTTCTATGGATTTTCATATGCTTCGAGCTGATGATGTGAGTTTTTTTCAATCAAGATGTTTATCACATGCATTTGATGAGAACTTGTTACATCATAAGTTTTAAGGAAACACATTATCCACCACCACATTTGTTAATGGAAAAAGTTTATATACCACATTTGTTAATGGAAAAAGTTTATATAAGGTTGATGTTTATCACATGCATTTGATGAGAACTTGTTACTTCATGAGTTTTAAGGAAACACATTATCCACCAGCACATTCGTTATTGGAAAAAGTTTATATAAGGTTGCAACATCAAAATGTAGAATTAAAGATGCACCTCAAAAATCTATCGGAAAAGGTTGTTTAATGTTGGAAAACCCTCTAATTGATCATCTTGACATCTAGATATATGAATATGAAAAAAAAGAAAAGATTTTGAGTCCTAAAAATAATGCATCTTGCAACACATTATTTACATCGTCCATTTTCATATATTTTGTATGCGTTTTTTCAGTTTAAAATTTTATAATTAGAGATAAAAATAGATTTTTCAGATAATCCTAAGAATTTTTTACACCAAAATTATATATTATGATGAAATTTGGAGGTGCACCTTAATTGGATTGTTTAAGGTTGCAACCGTATAGAAACCACACCCTTTGTTAATTCTCAAATCGCCATTAGATCCATTTTGTAGATCCACATGTAACTGGTTGCCTTTTTTCCTCCTGGAAGAGAATAGAATCCCATGTTTTCCTTCATAATAATGTTGCCTCTTTGGTTATTTTCAACTCCTTTAAACCTTCTCAACTCATGCTCCTATGTGACATGCATCATTCATGCACAATGCACACAATACAAATATAACAATTGTGGAGCCTTTTAACTGGATATTTTTACCTTTCTCGATAATGATTTACTTATTCTAGAGTTTGGGAGGTTGCCGGAAGAATATGTTTCTCCTTTGATTGTGTGGGAATGATTAGCTTCAAATGGGATTTTTTATCTCAATGGATGCTCCTTTCCTCATTCATATAAAACAAATGCATTTATATATTTTTTGTCATGGATAAACACTTTAGGAATATGAACTTTACAAACGTGTAATCAAAGTGTCATGGTCCTCATCACAGCACTGCGCTTCACATTAGGCTACACACCCATGTGTTTTGGTAAGTTAGTGAAGGAGAAGACCCCTTACTAACTATTTGATTTTCGTTAATAATAAGAAAAAAGTACAACTCATAAATTTATGACCCTTAAATAGGGGCAGTTATACCAAATCATAAAATACCGCAAGAAAAGAAAATCCGGCAGTCTAGATCTCCAAACCGCATCTCTCCAAACCATGTGATTTATAAATACGCTGTTGATGGAGCAAGAAATGACCAACAAAGGAGTAAGAAAGAGGACTAGATAATTTGTGAAGTTTTATGAATTATCTTTAGTTGACCCAAGAATCTCAAAACAAAAATCCAAAAACTGTCATGTTCTTTTGTTCTAATCTATTAAACCTTAAAATCAATGAACCCTAATCAGATAAGAAATCATAAGCCCGTAACAACAATACCGCCCCTTAAATGAAAAAAGATAATTCTGACCTAGATAATACCACAATTTTATGCTTTAATTCCATTTAAACTTTCAAAGACCCATTTTAAGCCGCGAGGCATTTTTTATCAACTTCGCGGGCAAAATTGGCAATGGTAGGCTTTGGTGCCATAGAGCACTGTGATACATTTAAGTTGTCATAATATACAAATGACCTTTTTTTTTTGATAATTTATATACAAGTGAAAAGTTATTACCCTAGAAATGTGTCTAAAAAAAAAACACTCCATGCATGAATCATAGTGCACATTGCCTTAATCCAATGTACTTTTGGCAAACCCTTTCTATTCAACATTGCACAAGAATTCCCACTTGATTTTGTCTACTGGATTTGTTCTTTTTTAATATTTCACTAAGGGCACGTTTGGTTCTTTGGTAAATGTTTTTCAGTAAATATTTTCACGTGAAAATTGTGTTTCATACATTTGTTTGGCGTAATGCATATGCAAATATAGCTCATGATAAAAAAATTTACCATGAAATGATTTAATTTATAGTAAAACAAAACTCCACCTCTTAGGTAGTAGAGAAATATTCCCTGTGCTTTTATTTTTCATATGCTGACCCATTATTCACAATTCACTATTTACAATATAATATTTTATTTATATATTAAATAATATATTTATTTAATATATAATATATCATTTTATATTATATTATAAAGTATCTATAATATATATTAGTTTATACATTATATTATATTATTGTATATTATATTATAATATACTATAGTATATGGAAAAAGTTCAAACTTAAAATGTAGAATAAAAAATGCATCCCAAAAATCTATCGAAAAAGATCGGTTTAATGTTGAAAAACACTCTAATTGATCATCTCAACATCAAGATGTATGAATATGAAAAACAAAAAGATTTTGAATCCCATAAATAGTACATCTTGCAACACATTATCTAGATTGTCCATTTTCAAGATTTTCATGTGTTTATAGATATTTTAATCATTTTTAGAGTTTAAAAATTTATAATTAGATATAAAAATAGATTTTTTAGATAATCCTTATATTTTTTTTTCACCAAATTACATGTTATGAGTTGTGCCTTAATTTGATTGTTTAAGGTTGCCACCTTATAAAAACCACACCCATATTATATTATATATAGTATATACCAATATTTATTTTATTAATGTAATTTGCATACACGTAAGGGAACTGACGTGAAACACAGGCAGGGAAAAAAGCAAATAGAATAAATGGAAAACCGCCAAAAGAAAAAAAAAAATTAACCAATAGATAAACACATCCACATACCAAATATCCTTGCACAATGTCAAAATTTTCGGGGAACCCACTGTCGCAAAACAACAGCTCCCCCACCCCCACGAATCACTACGCCCTCAAGCTCTCAAAATTCATCAAAAAATACACATCCCTCCAACAGAAAAATAGAATAGGAACAACAAAAATGTTTTATTGCCTGGATATATAACCCAGAAGAATAATGCACTTTTTTGTAACAAAAAGAATCAAATCTGGGAGAATTACCTGGATTTCACCAGAGGCCAATGGTCTTCCACCAAAAGCCTCCAACTCCAAGCCAAATTGCAATATTTACGACCGAGATGAGGAAGCCATAGCCCCACCATTTGGCGAGTGGGACATAGTTCGCGCCGTAAAACACAGGGGCTGAGCCGATTCCATAGTGAGTGAGGCCACCCATGAGGTTGGATAAGAAAGAGAGGACCAAAGCACCAAAGAGTGGAGGGGTCCCGAGGGCACTTGCAACTGATAGGAAAGCAGTGAACATGGCACCAATGTGAGCAGCCCCACTTGCAAAGAAGTAGTGAGAGTAGTAGTACAAAAGTACTAGGATTCCAAATGAGAGTTGCCATGAGAGTCCCAAACCCCCAACAAACTGCACATTAAAAGAAAAAGATCAGTTTCCTCTTTCGTACTAACATTTTTAGTTACCGAAGTAAAGTATCAGTGTGCTGAGTACTATTTAGTTAGACATTTGATGACCCTAAGTAATAGAGTACAAGTAGATAGATATCTCAGTTTTCATGGCAACTAGAGTGGAAAAAGATGTTAATATGGCAACCGAGCAATGCTTATCCAAGATAATCAAACCTACAGCGGCTTGGAATGAATTATAAACAATCAGTTATATATGAAGCTGCTGGCAGATTTTTGGTCAATCGGTTAGCAATGGTGCATCTACTAGATAACCCACAATTAATCACAACTCAAAGTCTTTTGATCTTCTCGAACACCCAAAAATTTGGAAGGAAGGCAGACCTTTCAAGAATTTAACAGAGAAGAGAGCCAATCTTATTTGTCTTCTTAAGTCAAAATCAGGATCAGATGAATCAAAAGAAACCCCCCCATATCCAAGGGAAATTGTTGGAATTTCTCAAAACTGTGAATACATTTTTTTTTTGAGGAAGTAACTTTGAATACATTTTTTTTTTATCTTTTATGTTTTATATTAGTTTTTTAAATTTGTTGGTACTGAAGAGAGTAAACTTGGACGCGCATTAGGGTATTTGTTGCCACATAGGAGATCCCCAATACCATTTCTACTTTTTGCAACTACTATATAACAATTATTACCTCTCAAAAATTTTTCTAGTTCCACTAATGTAACTACATGTACTGTCTGCATCTCTTTCAATAGTTACTATAATAACAAAGCTCCCAGTTCCACCTCCTACAAATGCAGTGTACAAACTCAAAAAGAAGAAAGAAGAAAGAAAGACTGGTGCTTATCCACTAAGACACGTCAACAAAAAGAAGGAAACAGTATGAGTTGCTATTATAATAAAGGCAATATGACACTCTTTTAAGTATTTTTATCATTCAGTTCAGTACTGACTAGCCACTGCTTTGTGGGGCTCATTAACCATTTCTCATGCTGTTTCTATTGAATAAGATGCTTTGGAGTAATCTAAAGATGTAGCACTCAGAAAATCACTTCAATTGAAAAAAAATAAAAAAAAAACAAAAGGGAAGAGAGTATACAAGCATACCTTAACCACTGTCTCACTAAACCAAGTGATGAGACCGTATTTGTTAAGATAATTGGCCATTGCAATAAGTGCAGCAAACCAAGTGAGTGTATCCCAAGCCACTGATTCAGACAAGCACTCCTTCCATGTCACAACTCCTGATATGAGAAGAATAGATAATCCAAGTATGGCAGCTGTGACTGCATCAACATTTATCATCGCCCCAAATATCCATAGTCCAACCTGCACAAACAATCCACAAAGTCGTCAACATAATGATTGAATTATAATTTACTCTTAACACGTGAAAGCCAAATCGTATGAACTTCTGTCGAAGCTAAGTATCAGTAACTCTTGACGAAAATTTCTGAAGGAATTTAAGGCTTCTCTGTGAAGCATGCGCAGGGAATGAACATATCGTCGTCTACCAACTAATTCGCATATAACAAAATCTACAAGAACTTTACAGAATATGTTGAAATCTCCACAATAACAGTACATTATAATCTCATGTAAATTAAGAAAAATATAACAAATGTTTAAACCTCATCAACCAATCATAAAAGTGAAGTCTCAGATTGTGTGGTTTCCATTTATGATGAACAGTATTATGATAAACCAGTACGGATTGTAATATATTATAAATTTCACAAATCAACCAGAGACTTGTTGCTACCCATGATTCTACAAATATCAAATTTCCTGAAATACCTATTGGAGATTTGGTTGCCATATCATGTCTGTTTTTTTTTTTTGGGTAAGCGCCATATCATGTAGGTTAAGAATGTGTGAGAATACATGTTTACCCCACTTATTTCTATGCATCCTTCATGTATCCCCCATAGCACAAAGAATTCCCATGTGTTTTTCTAGATCATCGATTTGATTGAGTAACAGTATAGTTCTCAAAAAAAATTTAGGGTATCCAGGCCTTAAAAGCAGCAAAGCTGCTAAATTATCATGTCAGATGCTCCTTATGTACAGAGGGAATCTGCTGTGCAGAAGCTGTCAAGTAAAGAGCAGGAAATACTAGTCTATGACAAATATAAGTTACCAGAAAGCAATAAGAGAAGCTTTAAATTTCGAGCATTTCATGAAAAGTAGTCCAAAATGTAAGGTAACAAGAGAGTAATCTTAAGTATGTCACACAAACAAACTAGATATATAATTGCATAGAGCAAAATATGGTTTTATGATAACTTCACAGTTATTTCCTCTGGCTTTTGTACTCATAAATTATAGATAAGTTATCTCTTTTCAGCATACATATTTTCTCTCCTTTGATATTGTTTCTCCAATTTTGGAACTACTATTATTCTCATTTTAACCTTCTTTTATTTTCTGTAATTATTTTGATTATATTTCCTTTGTTTCTATTTTCCCAAAAGTATCATAAAAAATTCCAGAAAAAAATATAAATTTTGTAACAGTCCCAAGAAATAAAGTCACCCAACTTTTTTTGAAAATTAGGCTTGTTAACACGGTTGCAAAACAACAAACACAATAGGAGTTTACTTTGCTTAACGTCATGTTTCTAGACAACAAGGGCCACAATAAAGCGGGCCAAAAGACTAAACATAACGACATAACTGCCCAATTATTGAATACATAGAAAACCCATTACCTTCCAAAACCGAAAAGAAAGCCATGCCACCTTTATCCCCCCTTTAAAAACAAACCACAAACTATGCCACTTGTCCCCCCTATCTATCCTATCAAACTGTATAATCCAGAACTAGAGGGCCACAAAAATTTATCTTTTGGAAAAACCCAAGCCATTCATATGTAGAACACTGAGAGTGATCCAAAACCTCTGGTTCAAATTAGGTTTGACTTTAAGACGAGAAAAAAAATTGGACTTGAATTCCGCTGAATTCTCGTCCACTAAATCAAAAAATTTATCAAACCCTTTTGTGTGAATACAATTTATCAAACCTAAGAAACTCATAAAGCCATATTTGGATAAAAAGAAAAAATAGAAACCAGAGTACAGTTCGAGTCATCCCCAAGAATTTGAATGATTTCTTCCTGAATCATAGCAGATGGAGACAAATAGAGAGTCCATCTACTGTACCCAACTTCAGCTTCAGTAAAACCAGGTCCAAAACCAAATACCACAATTTTTTTGGAAAAATTCTACACAACAAACACACGCCAAAAAATAAAAAAGCCAAAATATCACCCATGCATAGAGAAGAGAAGAAGAGGAACATTAAACTATGACACAAAATTACGTATCAACAACCTCAAATTCCCCTGTTTTCCCAATCAAAATATCCACAATATTGAAAACCAAATACACGAAAAAGAAAAATGAAATTCATACCGTAACAAGGAGGGTGGCGGTCATGATGAACTCATTCTTGCTCATAGGCCCCATCTTCTGCAAGTTTTCCCTTGCAAGCCTCGGTGCATCAGGGCTACTTTTCACCTCAGGTGGATAGACCAAATACAGTATCAATGGCACGACAACCAGTGAAACCAAACCAGGAACAATGGCACCCACTGCCCAAGCAGTCCATCCAATTGGTTGCCCTAAAACCGCACCAGCAAGCTTCGCGCTTAATGGATTAGCAGCCATGGCAGTTAAGAACATAGCAGAAGAGATACAGGAGGTTTGGAAACAAGTGATCATAAGCCATGAACCAAGCTTGTTCTCAGTTCCATCTCCTACATTGGAACCACAAGCTACACAGAGAGACTTCACAATTGGTAAGAATATACCACCTGCTCTAGCTGAGACAGAGGGGATAGCAGGAGCTAAAAGAGCTTCGCTAAAAACCAGACTGTAACCTAAACCTAGAGATGAATTTCCAAAAAGAGAGACAAATTGGTAAGCTACCCTTTTTCCCAACCCCGTTTTGATGAAACCTCTGGCAAAGAAGAAAGCCAAAGCAATTAGCCATGGAATTGGATCACCAAAGGCTGAGAAAGCAGCAGCAAAAGTCAGAGTTTTGGTGAGAACAGTGGCTCCAAGCCCCAAAAGGGCCACAGCGCCAAGAGGCAATGGCTGCGTGATTATGCCGACAATTGTAGCGAGAAAAATGGCGAGAAGCTGCCATGCATTTCTTGAAACACCAGAGGGTGAGGGGATGAACCAGAGGATCAAACCAGTGGCTATGGATGCCAATAATGGCTTTAGGGAAGCTCCCTGCCATGGCTCTGAAACCGTAGCAGGTGAAGTTGCAGAAGCTCGAACCACCGTGGAAGGATTCCTCGAACCAGAAGGAAACGATCTAGAAACCGAAACCCGAATCTGCTTCTGAACCAGAGGCAAGCGAGAGAAGAGCTCTTTTTTCACATGGTTTGAGGTGAGGTTGGGCTTGATTTGAAGGGCTTTTGCAGAGGATCTAGGCTTGCAGGTTGAAGAAGGGCGAAGCCCTAGGTTTAGAGGAGAAGTAACAGCAAAGGACGCCATGGATACTCTACAAATTCTAGGGTCTCTTCATAGGTGCATGGAGATTAATTAGGGAGG